CGGCCACTGATCTGAACTCTAAGGAGCACCGTGTATTTTGCTTGACCTCCGTCTTTCAGAGCAGCAGCACCATCTCCACATAAAACTGCCCACGGGATCCCGGAGAAGAAAACTGTGCAGGAGGCCCCTGCACTGTTGGACGAAGTCGCGATGAGGCAGGTCGGGTTCGGCAGGTGGCCAGGGCCGGAGGTCCAGGGGGGCTTCCCCGAAGTTCACACGCAGCTGCCCCAGGGACCCAGACATCGGTGTGCTCTCTGCCCCCCGCTTCCCCTGCGCTGCCTGTCCTCTGACCTGTCCCCTTCCCGTTCCCTCACCACCCCAAAGGCCGACTGAGTGAAGGCCTCATCTCACCAAAATACATACGTTCATCCAGTAAGTCCTAGGAGAAATGTAGAACATGTTAGGTGGCCATAAGGTGAACTAATTTTTTTTAACATTTGCTGGGAGCACATGACAAGGTCGGGATAAGGGAGTAAATTGTGTGGTGCGTCCCCATGCCTGCCCTGGAGAATGGGGGTGGGCGCCTGCTGACCACGGATGTCTGCGTGAGCCGGTCCCCTCCTTCTCTGGGTCTGGGGGCAGCTGAGAGAGGCCAGACTCCTGGCTAGGTGTCAGCAAAGGCCCCCGGGGTGGGAGCAGGCCCCGGCCCCGGTCAGAGGCTGGAGGGGGAATCCACAGGCTCCCAGTGTTCCTAAGGCCACCTGGGCACACGGGGAGCCCGGCATCCTTCGGGGAGCGTCTGCTCACGTCTAGATGAGTGTGTGGGGCTCCGTGAGCCAGGACCCACACTGGGGGTGCCCCGGGCACTGCCTAATCCAATCATTGCTCCACCCATGAGTTCACTTTTACCCCATTTGTTATCACTCAAACTTACATTCATTGTTTCTCCCCTTCCTCATTCCACAAAGGATTTAAGATAGTCATGCTAGCCCCCACCCCGGGCCAGGTTCACAGGGTTTCTGAAATACACTGTTTCTGCCTGGAACAGCTTTTTCATGGTTGTTATTGTTGTTGTTGTTGTTCTTCAAAGTGTGTGGTTCTAACAAGGCCTAGACCCTGTTGCATCTCTTCCCCTGAACGCCCCTCAGTCCCACCACCCGCGGTCCCTCCTTCTTCGGGTCACTTCCTGAACGTGTGCTCCGAACCGCGTCACGTCCCCATGCGACTACACTTTGCTCCAGCGTACCCCGTCCCTCCAACTGCACTGCCAGCCCTTTGGGGATGGGGACTTCGCATATGAATTTTTAACGCCCACTGAGGTCCTGCGGACATAGGAAGCCCTCAGTAACAGGAATTACATTTCAGAGAGACAGGCCCCTCCCCGACCAAGTGGTCCTTGACAAAGCACTCTGACCGGTACTGAACTCCGCGTTTCTCAGGAACACCCACTGGAGCATGAACAGTTTAAATTACAAGGTCAGCTAGGAGGAAGACAGTAGATAAAATTTGAAAAGCCGTAAAGTAGCAATTTACGCCTGTCCTCCCCAGAGACCAAACGGATACATTATAACACAGTGACAAGTTAATGTTGGCGGACTTGCCGAGCAGCGAGCAGTGCACAGATGCACGGTGCTGCGCCCATTTTCGGTGACTGTGAGCCGTGCTGGGGGTGTGCAGGTTCCTCTTTTAACACTGAACGGCCGGCTGCAGGAAAACACCGCCAGGATCTAGAACTTGACCCCAAGACACTTCTCGTGAAAGAGATCAAGTGACCTAGTCCGAGGAAATGAGAAATCCACGCCACAGCCACGGTTCTCCTCTGGCTGCCGCTCTGTGGGGAGCAGAGCAGGTGGGAGAAAAGGGGGAGACCTGGGGGTTTAAAGTGGGGCCTTCAAAATGCCGATGTGCAGAAGGAAGTTAGCTTCCAACACAGGCTTCTCGTGGCCTCATTTGACACTTCCTTGCCCACTTCACAATATTCCCGTGGTCCCTCTATCTTAATATTGCCAGGCCTGATTTGGGGGTATTTACTTCCTTGCTTCTATTATTTTATGCTCTTCCTCTTTATTTTATGCTTGTATCCTCCTTTTAATCTCCTCTCTCTCTATCCCCCAAGTTTTAAAAAATATTTTTCAATGAAAAAGTTGTGTGGTTTTTTTTTTAATTTGAAATGCTCCAAGTGGAGCTTTTAGTGAGGAAAGGATCGGGTTTCCACACAGAGGAGCAGACCAGGGCTTCTTCCTCAGCAGCTGCTCCCACGGGCTCCTGTCCTTGGACCCTGTCTGCCTCGGCCCAGCATGGCAACAGCGTCACATAAGGCAATACCTTCCAGGTGTACCTGCAACTCCCAGAAAGAGAAGCACTTGGAAGGTGGTCCGTGGCTGCAATGCTTAATCCATATTCGTTATAGCCTTGAACCAGTTCACAGGACCGTCCATGCCCAGTGCCCAACACAGTGTGTAAAAACCAGCCCTCCGTTTCTCTTCCTTTTTCTTTTTCCCAGCACCCACCACTGTGTGGCAGGCGCTGGCCTAAAGATGCAGAGGATGAACGAACGGCCTCACTGCTCTGGTGGATCTCAGAGTTCCACAGACAGAAGGAAGTGTGACCTGCGACCTTCCATGAGGGTTCCAGTCTCTGCCCCACCACCCTCCCTGTGTGTGAAACATCCTCCTTCTTGGGGGTGAGGGCGGAGGGGGGAAGGAGGGCAAGAGGAGCTGCCTGCTATTTTATCCAGGCTTAAGGACCCCTGAACGGGCATCGTTTGTCAAGCACGTGTGGGAAGCAGGAAACTTCAGGGGAGGGTCAGCGGCTCAGGCAGCCGAGGCATGTGAGGCCCAGGGGGACTGGCCCGAAGATGACGCAGCTGTCTGCGCCCCTGTGCTCGGTTCCTGTGCCTCCCGCAGCCCCGGGCGGTCCTGCCCTGTGAGCCTCAGGCTCTGGGGGGACTGAGGACCAAGGACCCACCATCTTCCTTATGTACCACCCACTGCTTTGAACATGTATTGAAAAATTACTTCCGCGGAATTGTTAGATACTTTGCACTCATTGTCTTCAATTTAATTTTCACAAAACTACCGTGGAGATGCTTTTGTTACTTTCATCTTAGGGGTGAGGAAACCGGACTCAAAGACTCAAAAAAAGTCTAGTAGACTTGGCCAAGGTCACAGGGCTGTTCACATGTCAGCACCAAGACTGGAACCTGGGCCTAAAGTTACCGTGTTTTTTCTAACCAATGTGCTACCCTGTCCCTCTCTGGGATTCTGTGCTAGGAAGCCAGGCAAAGAAGAGGAACTCATCACCACTGGTAGATCTAAGAAAAATCCCCTGGGCGTATCTGCCCCCGAGCCCTTCCTCTTTCAATTCAACTCAACCCGGTGCGAGGCAGGCAGCTGGGCCCTGGGGTGGGCTCTGTGGGACCATAGGAGATTGAGTTAGAGTCTTTGTCCTCTAAACATTCAAGACTTCTAAGTGCTCTACAGAACACAGCCTTGTGAATCATTTGCTTGTGTCACCACCTGCATTCATTCACTCAGTCACTCACTTATTCATGCAACAGGTGTTTTCCCTGATTCAACAGCACCAGTTGAAGGGAGGCAGCTCCTGAATCCGTGCTTACCATGGATAGGAGACAGATAAGTGATCCAATACTTACAATATTAAATCTCTTTTCCATGTGTTTTTTCTAACCATTTAAAGAAAACTGGTCAACACATTATTTGTATTACCTTTAACAGACATTGAAATAGCTTTCTTTTACTCTAATGGGTAATAAGTTAAAAATTAATCCAAGAGGATAATACGGGATCCATTGGGCATTGTTTTAGAATCCAAGCATTCTGTATCATCACTTTCAATCTTTTCTTTAAGTGTCTAAAAATACTGGTTCCCTGCTCTGATAAAGACATCTGAAAACCCCAATTCACAATATGCAGGGTATGCAGGATGATAAGTTAGCATGGTAAAATAAATTCCCTTTATAGAATTCATTGTCCCTTAAAAGGGCGTAATAGAGAAGGCAAGTTATTAGCTGCCCTAATGAAGGAATCTGTGGGCAGAGAAACTTGAGTGGGGATCCGCAGGCCCGTGAAGACCCTGAAAGTACAATGAAGGTAACCAAACCAGCACGATGTGGCTTGAATTTCAAAACTGGGACTCACGGACAACTTTTGGGAACAAGCCCATTGGACAGAGCAAGGACTGGAATTCCTCTGTTGTTATCCAGGAGGCTGCAAGGCTTTGCGCAAAGAACGCGAAGGAAGGGGAGGAGGGGTAACTGGTACCCGCCCGGATTTTCCCCCTCCTCCCTGACTTCCTTTACTCTTGTATTCCGAGGCTTGGTGAAAGAAAATACGTTTTCAACTCAAGTTTTGTATTAGCAAATAAAGTTCTGTTTTCTCTTTTAAGCCACAAGGTTACAGCATGTAAAACCGAGAATTTTGCTGTCTTTGTAAGTCGGGTTGCACAGTCCTTCGCAAGAGTCACCCTGGGGGCTGCACTCCTCAACCTTCTAAGTTGCAAGTCCGCGACTAGGGGAGGAATGGTAGTGGGGTGAATGTGGGACGGGGCTCGACTGGACCCTCTCTTCGCCTTCCAGCGGCGGGGCCCCGGAGGCTGCAGAACGCAAGCACAGCGCCCCCGCACGGTCGTTCCCTAGAGCCTCCTCCCGGGTCCAGACACCCCGCGCCGCGCCTCCTGGGCCACGCGGGCTCCGCAGGGCTCCACGCGCAGCCTTAATCGGGTCAAAACTTCCACCAGCGGCCCCGGTGCCGAGAAGGCCCTGCCTTCCCGCCACTCCCAGAGAGAGAAGCGGCCGCACCCGGAAGGCGGTCAGTGCACTCGCCCCCGCCGGCTTCCGCGCGGGTCCCGAGCTGGACAGGGGTCGCGGGGCGGCCACCCGGTTGGCTCCCGCCCGCGCCGGAAGTCCGCGCGTGCGCGCTGGTCGACCGGGGCGCGCGTCCGGCGCGGAGGAGCGGCGGGGGCGGGGCCGCTCGCAGGGTGTCCCCACCCCCGCCCCCCCGGCGTTCCACGGTCGCCGTGACAACCGGAGCAACGGCGGCGGGCGCGCGGGTCCCGCGCCGCCTCCCGGCCGCAGCGCCAGGCAGGCAGCCGCCGCCCGGCCTTGCAGCTTTCCCCGCCTCCTGGCCCGCGGGGAGGGACAGACCCGCCCTCCGCCGAGAGTGAGCGGCGCCCCGGCCGCCGTCCGGGCGCGCGCAGCCAGCGGGCGCGACTATGCCAAGATGGTCCTGCAGGCGCGGAACAAGCACCGCGACGCGGCCCCCAAGCCGCCCCGCGCCTCGCGGTCGCCTCTGAGGGGGGCGCCGGGCGCCGGGGACCCCGGGCCCGAGCGTGCGCCCCCGTCCCCCGGGCGCAAGGGCGCCGCGGGCAGGAAGGGGCCCCGCGCGGAGTCTGCCTCACCGCCCTCCGGGGGCGGCCTCGGGGGGCGCCTGGCGGCCGGGCTGCGCGGGGCGCTGGGCCTGCGGCGCGCGGGGCGCGGCCGAACCTGGACCACGCTCCTGCTAGGTGAGCAGCCCCAGCGCGCGGGCGCCGCCGGACGCGGAACTTTGAGCCGCGGGCCCCCCTCCTCCGCTCCTCTCCCGCTTCCCTGCCGCCCAGCCCCGCCCCCGGTCCCCGCCAGTTTGCAGCCCTCTCCGACTTTTCCTGGGACGTCCTCATCTCCTCCTCCCCTTCCCTCGGCTTTTCCCCGGCTCAGGCCGCCTCGCTCCCTTCCCACTCGCTCTCGGTCTCTGCTTTTTAAAAAATGGCCCCGTGATCAACAGCTGCCCGGCCGGGCCGCGAACGGGCAGGTCTGCGCTAACGAGATTTGGGCACTGGCGATTGGCGCGCACCGGCCGCCTCGCGGTTATCTGGGCCCCTGCCCGGGAGGGTGCTTTGCTTGGGGTTGGAAGCGATCCGTAGAGCCCAAAGCCAAAGCACCTTCCCTGTCCTAGAAAGTTGCTAAACTTATAATTAAATTTTAGCGTCCTTGTTCTTCTTGGCCTCAAACACTGCCGGCGGCACTTTATTATTGATTCCCCTCGGCAAGTCACTTTCCAGCGTGATTTGGGCGCCGGAGCCTTAATCCTCCCTGCTGACAGGGGAACGTTTGGTATGGAGGTCTCTCCTCCCCTCCCGCTGCCCTGCACCAACCAAAATGATGATGCGAAAGGAGGCGCTGAACAAAATAAAGTTGAAGCATTCCAGGTCGTGGACCGATCAGGTCACGGCCAGGTTTCCTTTGTTTTCTGATACGCATTCCGATAAGGCAAGTTACAGCAGTTTGGATAATAAGCCTAATTTTTCTACGTCAGCCAGTGAAATGCCCTAACGCTGGTATTCTTATATAATGCCATTGATGGGCTTTGGCTACTGAATTATTTAACTGTTGGCGATTTATCTCTTAATAGTCTTTCATATTCCCTTAATGACCCAAAAGAATCTGGAGTTCAATATAGGCCGAGAAAGAGAACACAGCATATTAACTCCTCCTGAGACCACAGCCACCGCTTTAGAAGCCATTCAGTTATAAACACCCAGTCATTGCTCTGTGTGTGTGTGTGTGTGTGTGTGTGTGTGTATGTTAGTTAATGGATGGGTTCAGAAACATTGATACTGTTATTGGGGTACTTTTTTCCCGTTGTAGAGTCGAGTGTAGAAAAATTCAGAATTTTAGTGCTGTATGTTCTTCCTTTTTTTCAGTAGCAAGCTTGCAAAACCTTACTGGTGTGTGGGTGAGAGGTAAGTTCACCTTGGGGAGGCAGCATGGTATAGGGGATGAGTCGCACCAGTTTCCTTCACAGTGGTGAAGTTTGGTGTAAGTTTCAAGTTATTTCCCTTGCGAGCCTTTCCTTCCCTGTGGCATGGGATTACCGCCTCCCTGCATCACGGGCCTGTCCTGAGGAGCAGGACTAGAGGGTGGGGTAATATATGGAAAGGCTCTTTGCATCTAAAGCATCAAACGCGTAGTCGTTGCAGCTATAAAGTCTCGTGCATAATAAGTGCGTTCTGGTGACAGGATGAAGCTGCATTTTTCTCGACTGGCCGGTGCGAGCGTTAACAGCTTTCTTCTAGTCACACATGGAAGGGCGTCGCTCCGTCCAGAAGGTTACAGTAGCACATCAGGATAATAACCTCTGGCATTTTCACTTGTGCCCATTTTCTTGTAATTGCATTTTCTTTGACTCTTTTTATACTGGGTAGTATAAATGTGGGTTTAGGGATGCCCGTACTTAAATACAGTTGTATTGCTGTTAACAGCGTGGCACTTACTGGACTCATGCCTTTGGCTGGTGGCAGGCGGTGCGGTGAAGGAACTGCCCCATGCCCCTGGGTGTACGCTGGCCACTGGCCAGCAGGTATGTGGAGGTAGATGACCAGAATAAGGTCTAGAGACTTTCTGTCCTTGCTGACCACTTACCTAAGGCCACAGGACAGCCTGGGAGATGGTTCTGGAGAATGATGGGGTCTGGGACGTTCGGTTCTTTCTCTGCCCCTTTACCCTCGGGTCCTGCAAAGAGGAGCAGAGTGTGGACATTTCGAAAGCTGCCTCATTTCCTGTCTTCTTCCCTCTCCCAGAGCCGGTGAGAGCCGGGCCCACTGCGGGGTCTTTCTTTAGTGCAGGACTTTGCTGTGACAGAATGAATGGCTTCAGTTATTGTGCTCAGTAAGGTGTTCAAGGGGTTTTCACACGCGGTGCTCCTTGACGCAAGCACACATTTTAAGAGTCAGAAACTGACGAATGTCCTTGATGCAAGCACACATTTTTTTTTAAAAAAAGATTTTATTTATTTATTTTTTAGAGAGGGAAGGGAGGGAGATAGAGAGACAGAGAGAAACATCAATGTGCAGTTGCTGGGGGTCATGGCCTGCAACCCAGGCATGTACCCTGACTGGGAATCGAACCTGCGACACTTTGGTTCGCAGCCCGAGCTCAATCCACTGAGCTCCGCCAGCCAGGGCTGCAAGCACACATTTTAAGAGTCAGAAACTGACGAGGGTCCCTACCCTGGTTTGTCTCTTCCTTCATATGTGCTCAGCCCTGGTGAGGAGCTCACTAGCTATCAAGGGGTCCCTTTCCACTGTGGGGCCGTGTTAAACATTGTTTAAAAATCCATTGTAACAAACACATGTCTCTCTTACTTGGGGACATGAATTATGCTTTACTTGATGCTAACAGTTGTAAAGAAGGTTCTTGAAGTGATTTTTTTAGACGCCTGCACCGGCAGCTCCCGGTGTCATCCGGGGGAGGCCGGGGTGTGGTCTGAAGGACCGGCCACAACCCACAGTAAACAGTACGGTTCACGTGAAAGTCTGCGCACGCTCCTGGAACGCTGCGCCGTGCACACGTGGCAGTGTGTGTGTCTGTTTTGGTGTGTCAGTGCCCCGGCAGGAAGCATCTAATGGAAGGACTGTTTTCAGGACTGTGAGCAGGCCTAAGGAATCCACAGAGGACCCTGAAGCACCCAGGCGCTGCGCACAGCGGGCCTGAAGGGGGAGGGGGTGTCCTCAGGCCCGCTGAGCCGGGAGCTGGGCCTGGGAGCAGGGTGACTGAGAGGAGCGGCTCCAAATACATGCTGCAGCCCTGTGGTCTGCCGCTGCCTCTCCCTGGCCGACCCGCTGGAAACCCTTACAAGGAGCCCGGCGATGCAATCTGTAGGGCCGGCCTCCTGGGCTGGGAAGAAAGCAGAGGAGGGCAGAGCATGCACTCGGAGAGGCAGCCGGAGACTCGCCTCGTGTGTGCTTACATCGAACCAAAACAGCAGTGTCGTGTGAGAATACCAGCCCCCATAGTGTGCGCCACACTCTGAGTTTTCTGCCTGCCCTTTTTAAAAGCGCTGTGTGTTACAAGCCACCACGCTGATTTCCTGATCTGCTGTGATGACCCGTACTTTGCAAACACCACCTCAGGAGAACCGCGTTCCGACTCTGTATCTGTTCCGAACTTGTCAGGTGCCTGAGCAGAGCATGTGCTGCTCTGAGCCTCAGTTTATGCACACGTGAAAATGGGAGGCCTGGGCTGGACTGGCAGCGCTCAGCCTCAGCTGTGTGCTGGAGTCACCTGGAAACGTGAAACAGCCAGATGGCTTGGTCAGTGACATCGGAATCCGGGGGTGGGGTGGACTGGGGGACGTGTGGGTGGTGTCAGCGTCTGACGCCCTGCCTCTCCCTAGAAGCAGACCATCTGGCATCCCTGAGCTGACCTTCCTGCTGCAGTAATCCCCCGGAACTGAGGAAATCTTCTCCCCCTGTTCAGTTTGGGCGCATGGTCCAGTGTACGGAAGTCTCCCCTAGCCTCCGTTGTGTGCTCGAAACAGGCTCTGAGTTGCCATTTATCATCTGTGGCTGTTATTTTAATTGGAGCCGGGAGGAGAGTGACCCTTCTCGTGCCCATGCCCCTTATCACGAGTGGGAAGACAGAAGGGTGGCTGGAGAGGGCTCCGGGAATAACGGCAAGGGTGCTTTCTTTCCCTTGGGGAAGCGAGGAGTGTACGAGTTACACGTGCAAACGACGCTTGTTGGCGGTGAACGACCGGCCTGAAAGATGCCGTTTGAAAAACAAGCACCGTGCAAAACGCAGCCTGAATAGGTGGTAAAAACGAACGGTGTATCCCCTTCTGCGGGTCCTGCCTGACTCATTCCCGTCGCCTGCCTGGCTCCTGAGGCCCGCGGCACCTGTACCTCTGCTCTCAGCTGGCTCTGTCCCATTTGGGCTTCACAGTCTCAGCGCCGGGACACCTGGGGTTGAAGAATTCTTCCTTCGGGAGGGGGCGCTGTCCTGTAAACTACGGGATGGGTAGCAGCCATCCTTGGCCTCCACCTGTTGGAAGCCTGCAGCCCCTCCCCAGTGGTAACAACCCAGATGTCTCCAGAGAGTGGCAGATGTGCCTTGGGAGGCGAAGCCACCCCATTTAGGAGCACTGCTTTCAGCGTCCACCGCTTGGAAGGGCCTGGAAGCCCGCGTCCTTGGAAAGACGCGTGACGTGCAAGGGGCAGAAGGGGGAGGAAGCTGCGTAGGGTTGAGGGCTGAGTCCAGGTGTTGGGAACGGGGGCAGGTGGGGGAGACAGCTGGGCATCTCAGTACTGACCTGCATCTCCATCCTGTTGCTACACTTAAGAGATACAGATCTCCTAATGCTTCTTTTCGTTGCCTCATCTGTAAAACGGTGATGATAAGTGTTTCGCCTGGCCATGGTAAAGAACAAATAAAACGGGAAAAATCACTGTGGCTTCGTTCACACCCACCGGCCGCTGAATGCCTGCCGGGCCAGGTGCTCTTTGTTGGGGGTGCCGTGGAGAACAGGCCAGCTGTCGCTCCTGCCCCCCGGAAACGTCCGTCTGGGGTGGGGGCACGTACATAAAAGTGAGTTGCACATTGCAGGAAGTGCGGTGGAGCAAACAAGGGGTGGAGACAGTAAAAAAAAAACCCCCAGGAAATGCCCCTGTAAGTAGGGTCAGGAGGGCTTCTGGGGGGCTTCTTCTGGGGAATAGAAAGGCTTCCATTCCAGCCGAGACCTGTTGGAGCA